TTTCAGTCACGTGACCGGCTCGAAGACCTGGAGGGCAAAACATCCATAGAACTGCAGGACAAACCTGTCAATTTTCCATCTGTTTCACAGCCGCAAATATTTAGATCACCTCTCAAAAAAATGTGAACAAAATGCAAGTTTTGGCCATTTGCAATCCATATTAAGCACCTGCGGCAATATTTCAATCATTAAACAGTGCGACAAAACGTTGTAAAAACACTTAAAATGCCTTAATATATTTAAAACAGTAATATTCTCTATATTAATGATGCATAGTTAACATAGGCAAGCAGATAAGGCCGGAATATGAACGCAATTCGCTTAATGGTATTGAATGATGTGTTGCTTATATTTATTGTGTTTAAACATGTCTGTGAAAGATTGTAATACTGTACTGTGTAAAAAAAGAATTGCAATGCTGAAAAAGCATTTTCAGTGACAATGTTTGGATTTGAAATCAAAATAATGAATAAATGTTGTGTTTGTGGTAAACAGCCACTGATCAGTAGTGGACTCCTGTGTGAAAGCTGCTTCCTCTCACAAGAGACACCTAAGAGGGGAATTCCCCCCATTTTCAAAAATGAAATTCAGGCCCTGAATGAATGTCTAAAAATCCTGATTGGAGTATCAATATAAATAGTTATAAATGATAAAAAGAAGGCTTTAAAAAGATCGGTATCGGTGATCGGTATCGGCAGATACTGCTTTCTGTGATCGGCGATCAGCCTCAAAAATCCTGATCGGAGCACCCCTAATTTCCATGCCTACATATTTATTTGAAAATAAATTTAAAAAGCAGAATGTACATTCAGTATATGTAATAAAAATATACTGCATTTATATAATGAGAAAACTTCAAATGCTCAGTAACCAAACGGCACCTGCAGATAATATGCTAAACTTATAATTGACTTATTCCAGGAAACTACTAGTTTCATGTCTATCATATCGCTCTGCGTTCTCCTTTTCACATGAAAACATTTACTTAATTAGAAAAAGCACAATCATGTACATTCAGTACATATAAAAATAGTTTATAATGGGAAAACTTCAAATGCTCAGTAACCAAAGGTAATGAAATTAATAATGCTAAACTGTATAATTGACTATTATTCCTGGAAACCACTAGTTTAATGTCTCATATATAACTCTGAGTTTTAATGTTTTCTTTAATGTGAGATGAGAGCGCAAATTATATAATTATATAATATATAAAAAGTATATAATGGGGAAAAAGTCAAATGCTTAGTAACCAGACAGTACCTAAAGATAATAGGACAAAACTTTATAATTAGTCAGTTATTCCAGGAAACTAGTTTCATGTTTCATGCGCTCTCATCTCTCATAAAAGCATTTAAACTCAAATCAATATTTCGGTTCCACTTATTAATTTGAAAATAAGCAGAAAAAACAGAATCATGTACATTAATTATCTTACAAAAAAAAAAAACAGTACATAATGGGTAACTTCAAATGTTCAGTAACCAGAAGGTACCAAAATTAATAATGCTCAACTTTATAACTGACTATTATTCCTGGAAACCTTTAGCTTCAAGTCTCTCATATTACTCCTTTTATGTGAGAAGAGAGTCCATATATTTCAAACCCACTTATTAATTTGAAAATAAGTAGAAAAAGCAGAATCTTGTGTATTCAGTTTATATATATATATAGATATATACTCTATATATATATATAACATATTTTTATAAACTTTATAATTGACTATTATTCCAGAAAGTCTTTCTCTTACATTCTGTGCTCTCTTTTTGAATAATAATAATAATTAAAAAAAACATTTAAATGCAAACATTTTATCACCACTTACTTGGAAATAAATAGTAAAATAAGGATCATGTACATTCAAATGGTCATTCCCACAAAATAAATACAAGACCCTTTCACTCCCCATCACCCTGTCTGGGTTTATTTTGTGAGAATGACCAGCTGAATGTACATTATTCTTACTTACACAGCCTCTCCTGAGCTGACATATTTCTTAATGAAACAGGAAGTTGGGGTGAGACATACTGAAGGGCTACCTTTCCTTTGTATAGCCAATAGGCTTTAGTTGATGTCACAGCCATGAATCATGATTTGCTGCTCGCTATTGCCGGTCAGCAGCAGGTGGTATCAGTGGGAAGGACATTCTCATTTTACAGAGACAATCTGCATACGCCCCTGAAGTGATATCATCAATATCTCTGCTCCGTTTTCCAGAATGAGTAAGACTTTAAACTTCAAATACATACTGTACATATGCTAAAAATAAATTGTGCCAACTTTAAGCATAACTAACAGTCTCAAAGCAAACAGACAAGCACAAAACTCTTGATTTCAAACTGTAAGTGCTTACCTTGTCCTGAAGTTTGCAGGATGAGGATGTCCATCATATAAAGATAAAAAGTCATATTCTTCCTCCACAGCGAAGGACTGAAAAACTATATGTATTCTGCTCCTCTCCTCGGCTACAATAACCCACGTACAGTTCGCTCCATTAGGGTATCCGTGAGGAAATCCTGGACTTTCTATGGTCCCATTTTTCCCTTTTAATGTCCCACCACATGTAAAAATGAAACCTGTAAAAAGAGAGAAAGAGGAAAATATGAGTCTATAACTGCCATAACCCACATATAGAAAAACCACAAATGTCTTGCAAGTCAACATTAAGCATTTGCAACTAGTTTTGCTTCTGTAATGTGATTTATTACCAAGTAAAATAGGATATTCAATTCTAATAAAGGTAGAATGATTGATTTTTTTCCATCAGACATTGACTAAACTCCGCCCTCTTTGGTTACTGTTTCTACTCAGACAAGATTTAAAGAACATTCCATTGGAATGAACTGGAGATTTCCCAGTTCACTGCATAGTTTTCATAATCTAATCAATTCCTGACAATTCTAATAATGTTAGGATGATTGATTTTTTCCATGAGAATTTGCCATTTCACTAAGCTCCGCCCCCTTGGTTACTGTTGCTGCAAGATTTAAAGAACATTCTATTGGAATGAACTGGAGATCTCCCAGTTCCCTGAAACGTTACGCTCAGTTTTCACAATAAAAATCAATTCCTGATGCATAATCTCAGAGAAAGAAGAAAATATGAGTCTATACCTGCCATAATCAACAAAAGCATAAAAATCTGTAAAATCAACATGAAACATTTGCAGCCGGTTTTACTTCTGTATTGATATTTCCAATGATCTTTGATTCTAATAAAGGTAGGATGATTGATTTTATCCATCGGAAACTGACGTTCCACTAAGCTCCACCCCCCTTGGTTACTGTTGCTACTCAGGCAAGATTTAAAGAGCATTCCACTGGAATGAACTGGAGATTTCCCAGTTCACTAGAATGTTACGCTAAGTTTTTACAATCAAATCAATTCCAGATGTATAAAAATCTATTTTTTCTTCACATTTTGTTTCACTGTGAAATACACCAAATTATTGAAATAAAATAGTCTGAGTAGTGCATTTCACGAGTCATGACATAATCTCTCACCAATACAGAAAGAGAAACAGAAGAAAATATAAGTCTATAACTGTCATTACCTACAAAAAGAAAAAAAAAAATCACAAAAAGTCAACATGAAACACTTGCGACCAGTTTTACCTGTGTACTGACATATTTGATCTATGATTCTAATAAAGGTAGGATGATTGATTTTATCCATCGGAAACTGACGTTCCACTAAGCTCCACCCCCCTTGGTTACTGTTGCTACTCAGGCAAGATTTAAAGAGCATTCCACTGGAATGAACTGGAGATTTCCCAGTTCACTAGAATGTTACGCTGAGTTTTTACAATCAAATCAATTCCAGATGTATAAAAATCAATTTTTTCTTCACATTTTTGTTTCACTGTGAAATACACCAAATTATTGAAATAAAATAGTCTGAGTAGTGCATTTCACGAGTCATGACATAATCTCTGACCTATACAGAAAGAGAAACAGAAGAAAATATAAGTCTATAACTGTCATTACCTACAAAAAGAAAAGAAAAAAATCACAAAAAGTCAACATGAAACACTTGCGACCAGTTTTACTTGTGTACTGACATATTTGATCTATGATTCTAATAAAGGTAAAATGATTGATTTTATCCATCAGAAATTTACCTTTCACTAAACTCCGCCCTCTTTGATTACTGTTGCTACTCAGACGAGATTTACAGAACATCCCATTGGAATGCATGAGAGATTTTAAAGTTTACTGGAACGTTATGCCCATTTTTCCCAATTGAATCAATTCCTGATGCATAGAAATCAATTATTTCTCACATACTCAGCTTAACTGTGAAATACACCAAATTATGGAAGTAAAATGGTTTGTGAACCAGATTTCACATTATAAGTCTTCTGAGTTATGACAGAACAATCTCTGAGCAATACAATTATCCTCTGGGAGTTGTTTGTATAGCTAGTTAGTATTCCTCTCTGAGCTTAATACAGCAGCAAAAGCATTTCTCAACTCTGTGAAAAAGAAAAACAACTGGTGACATCTGACATCACAATCATATTAGTCAAATCATGGCAGTTTGTGCGCTGATGCCCGTAATGGTTCGGTTGTGACATGAATCACTATAACTGTGTGCATGTTTGAGATGGCTGCTCTCTGAGATATTAGGGGTTTCGTTTTAATGACCGTTTCTCATATGTCAACCCAACCGCCATTGTGGGTGTGCATCTACCACCTGCTACACACAAATTAGTGGGGCTTTTTATGCATCAACCTGAGCAAATAGACTGGTAATGACAACCAGCATTAATTGAGCTTTTCCATTTATCCCCTTCCGCTTCCCTTAAGGCGTAATTAGCTTTACCGACTCCCTGAGATCAAGGATCTTTTCTCTCCCATCTTTTTTTTCCCTCAATCTTGTTAGCCAGGAAGGCAAGGAGAATTAATTCAGAAGGGAAAGACCTGCATTGACTCATAGCCACCCATCTCAGATCTGACACAATCACTCTACACATCCACCGTCACCTCAAAAGAAAAGCAAAAAGAAATGCATCAAGAATGCATAAATAAAATAGACGCTTTTGACAATTATGACAAATTAGAAAATTTTCTACAAAATTCTCATTAGTATGATGCATCCGGATGTTTTACTTTTGATTGGCTTTGACTTTAGATTGTCATTACTGCAACACACTCATCCATGTAAATAAGTGTATGACCAAACCAGCTAAAACTGCAACAGTTTTATTTTGTCAACCATTTGGTTTCCATTTATATGGCATTACTCCTAATAACCCCACCCACTCTGAAATCTCATTGGCCCAAAATCCCACTCCACATCACCATCCACATTCATGCTTAACTCTAAATTGATATTTCAATTTAGCCACACTAAAATAATTCTATCTATAGGGACATAAAAAAAATAAATTTGTATTGGAGAGAATCATGATCAATTCCAAATAATGCAACAATTAGAGCAAAAACAAACTAACTAACTTCTAGTTGTTTCCTACAAAACAAAACCTATGAAATACTCCAGAATGTGCAGTCATTTCCCTGTCATTAAAATTTGGATCGAATTAAGCAATAAGGTAAAAGAGGCAGTGTAATACTGCAAATAATCATGGCTAAAGGTTATCGTTAAGAAAGACGCATAACAACAGCGGCCTCCTTCGTTAGGACATAATGGCTTGATATGAATGTACCAATGAATAGATTTTAAAAAAGGATCATACAATACGGAGATAAAGTATCACAACACATCAATATAAAATTGCATACTGATGGGTACAATCCTAAAAATAACAACTGCTATGGAAATGTTGTTGTCATCATGACGTATTCAAATTAGCTTTGATGAAATACATATTAATTCAGCAACTAGAACCAGAACCATCTATTTTGAAATGTTTATTATAAAACAATGAAAAAGAAAAGACATGACCGTGTCTGTTGCATCACTGTTGCATTATATGCGGTTCTCAAAATGACTTGAAAAATACGGAAAACTGTGTTCAAAAAGCCATGAATCCATTGGTTTCAGCCCAGAGGCTCAACATCAAACAAACATTTACAGACAGCACCAAAGTCTTTTGCAAATCCTGCAAGTGCCCAATCTCTTTTATCACAAACCTTTTATGGCTAATTAAAAAAAATAAAAAATAAAAAAACTAAGACAATCCCATGAAGTACAAAACGTTTTCATAACTTCTCAATTTGACTGCAGTTAGGTTACGTCACAGTACGACATTTAAACATCTATGCAGCTGTGGTGGAAAGAGTCATTCTGTCTGGATATTGCTAAGCCATTCATTTCTTCAGGCAGCTGCAATTGGAGGCAATCGTGACCAAAATCAGCCTTTGTCTCCATTTTCAGTGTAACATCGTGAGGTGATTTTGGTCCTTGACCACCCTTAGTCTAAACAGAGAAGGCATAAGATAGACTCTTAGAATTGAGGGTTATTTCTTAAGCGTCGTCAAGCACAGCCATTTGGCATTCGGTTTTAAAGGCTGAGCACAAAACTCATATCCTGAGACATGGACGGTACAACTTATTTTCTTTTCTGACACAGTACAGTCTCAACAGTATCAAAACTGTACAGTATCAAGGCTAATATTCAAACTCAATACTATTATTAAACAACATAAAAAAAAAAAAAGTATAAACAGGTGCCATTTCATATAAAAAAAGCAATTACTGACAAATGGTAAGACCCTTTTTATGTTTTCCTTGTTTTGACAAGGAATCTACACGACTACAATAATTATCATTATCAGTGCTTAATACACAGCAGTTCTTATGACGAATAAATAATAAAATCATTAATTAGAAACACTTAGGATGTACAATTTTATATGAGGAAGAATCCTCTCAAAACATCATCAGTATGGCTGTATCAATATTTAAGAATTGTCCTGTTACAATATCTTTCATACAATCCAGCTAAAGCCACTTACTTAAGAAAAACTGATTTAAACTAAACAAAAATATAGCACAACACAAAACTAAAATTAAAACAAAACAAACAACAAAAAACAACAAAAAAAAAAAACTAAACTAAAATAAAAAATGTAATAAAAAAAAAATAAAAAAAACATATCTTGCCAAATTTCTAAGGGACCACATTTGGCGGTCCTGGTTTAAAAAATGACAACAATTTTAAAGAATACAAAATGCACACACAAACAAAAAAATTAATTAATAAATTACAGTAAATAAATAAAAATAGCCTTGTTTCCCAACCTTTTTTTTCCCATGGCCCACCAAAAAGAATTAAAAAAAAAAAAAAAAAAAAAAAAAAAAAAAAAAAAAAAAAAAAAAAAAAAAAAAAAAAAAAAAAAAAAAAAAAAAAAACTAAACTAAAATAAAAAATGTAATTAAAAAAAAACAAAAAAAACATATCTTGCCAAATTTCTAAGGGACCACATTTGGCGGTCCTGGTTTAAAAAATGACAACAATTTTAAAGAATACAAAATGCACACACAAACAAAAAAATTAATTAATAAATTACAGTAAATAAATAAAAATAGCCTAGGTATTGTAAAATATTGTTCTATAATCATGCAACTTCAAGATGAAAATTCTGGGGAACTTGCATTCAAAATCCACTTGGTTGAAAAACAAACTAAGCGCTACTTAGTTTGAATGGTTATGACACCCATGTAAAGGTGTAACGCTGTTGATTGTACCCTATTTGACTTGTATAATCTGTCTGAATGAAACAGGATATGTAAAAAAAAATTACTAAATCCATAGGGAATTGATTAGATTGTGAAAAGCAGAATTAAGTCAAAAGATTTGCACTGCAAAAAGTCTAAAAGGGTTCACACATTCACAAGCTAAAGGAGGGCACAATGGACGCTTTATTGTGGTTAGCTCGAAGGGTTAAGGACAGTCTAATCTTTAACCCAGCAAATGGCATGAAACAGCTGCAGGAATAGACCTTTCTGGAACAGAATCCATTAGAGATTAATGTAAACTTGCTTCAAAACCACTTTGAAAAGGCGCCGCCCCAAAACGAACCCTCATGCTCCATCACGCACGATCACATCGCCCCAAAATTCATTTTGATGCTTTATCTGTGCTCCTCATTCCGCTTTATTTTCACGGCGGGAAATCCCGTTTCATCCACCAATCACTCTGATTATACGCTGGCCTCCCCGGGGTGACCGCTGACACCGTGATGGCGACGCGCCTGTCGCCGCCAGCTATAAATTGATACGAGAAACAGCATTAACATCACACTGCGATTGCCGAGTGGAGAAAATAGATCAGTCATACGAATCAACATCTAAACATAAATCTCATTCAAATAAGAATGCGAGCCAAAGACGGGACCCAGCTGCTCCTGCGGTGATTTTAACATGTCGTCTCCACCCGCCAGCCACTGTACAGACCTACGGGGGCTCAATCAATTTGTTTTGCCACTCGAGAGGCAGAACAGGGATGACAATACACCTCAATCTTATTTCTTCACACATAACCAGATGGCCATAGAAGAATCTGAGTCGACAAGCTCCAAAGGCTCGTACGGCACGGCGCATCAAAGGCAGCTTCTTCTTAGGGTCTTGACTTGAGTAAATAGGATATGAAGGGATATGCATGCAAACAGATTGAGATAATAGGTTTGGGCTTCCAGAAGGGTCACTGTAACTCTGTGTAGCTCAAGTGATTGGATGCACAAACACTAGCCAGTGAAGACAGAATAGGCTTGATTCATTGGTCCTCATCGGTAGGTAAGCTCTTTTAAACAACACTATAACTCCAAATGGAAAGGTTTAGGCTGGAATGAGCTGGAAAGTAGAGGAGAACATTATAAATCCAGTGGTGGAGAGTAACGAAGTAGCTTTACTTCGTTACTGTACTTAAGTAAATTTTTCAAGTATCTGTACTTTACTGGAGTCGTTTTATTTTGAGTAACTTTTACTTTTACGTCACTACATTCCAAAGCATAAGATCGTACTTTTTACTTCACTACATTTCATAAAACATATCGTTACTCCTTATAATATATCACGTGCTCCGAGACGCAGAAGCGGTGTCTGATTCAAGAACGAACTGATTATTTTCAATGAACCTTTTAAATCGGTTCTCATATATAACTGTGATGTTCTGCAAAACAACAAGCTTTAAAACACTTTTTTCTTACTGGTGAAAATCAGATGGTCAAATCCGTTTTCTCTCAGGTACATCGCAGTGTAAGCTTCACAGTGAACATCACTACATCATAGTACATAAAAAAATCGAGTATTTTTGTACTTTCACTCGAGTAAAATTGAAAAAGGAGTACTTTTACTGGAGTAATATTTTATTATACGTATCTGTACTTTTACTCAAGTACTTGATTTGTGTACTTCGTCCACCACTGTATAAGAAATAGCTTATAGGCGCAAATGACTTACTGTATAGAACACTAGAATCTTCATGCAGCTTTGCCTATACATTGCAATTCACAGTGACCACATATGTCAAGCTCAGAAAAGAACAAGTAAATAATAACAGAATTTTAAAATAAATCCTCTATATGTACATAAAATAAAAAAATACATCATATATTATTTATTATATTAAGCTAAAACAACTATATGATGTAAAGCATGTTAAAAAAAACTATAAAATAAAAATGTATGAATTAATATGACAGTATGAATTATAAAACATAAATATAACTGTTATATCTAACAATCCAAAATTATGTATTTAAAACTAATTAAATATATAAAATGTCAATTATGATACAATGATTAAATACATATATTTACAAAATAAAAATGTATACATAAATTATGTAACAATAAAAATTGTATATTTAAAAATTATAAGATAGAATGATAGATTGACAGAACGATCGATAGAACGATAGAACAGATAGAACAACAGATAACACAATAGAATGATAGACAGAATGATAATGATATAGAATGATGGAACGATAAATAGAATGATAGATAGATAGACAGAACGATAGATAGAACGATAGAAAGATAGAATGATAGAACGATAAATAGAACGATCTATAGAACCACCAGTGCATGAGTTTTGTTCATCCAAACAAGTGTTCAGGAAACCTGTTCGAAGACAGTAATTATACTTGCAATGCTATTCAGTGCCACTAATAACACACTTCATCTTTGACAGCATCTAAACCTTGATTTGAAGAATAACAGATTGAAATCAGCTTCACGATCACTATAGCCCTCCAGACCTACAGTATGCTAACAAGCAGAGAAACCATTAGACATGGCTGTGGATCAATCACTTCTGTCATAAGAGCAGTCACACCCAGCTGGGGGTCAGCTCAGATAGACCCACACTCTTGTTTAAGACTGTTCATTACATCTGAAAACAAACT